AAATATATAGTAGATATAAGTATATTTGTCATTGGCTGTAGATCAATTAGATCTACAGAATCAGATTTTCCTCAGCGTGAGGGCCAAGGCTTCCCCGTTCTCGGTGTCTATGCCACAGTTTTAAAGGTTAGCTTTAAGCCCATCTTTAAATCACTGTTCCTGTCCACCAATGTTCTGTTTTCCATTCTTGAGTAGAGAGTAGAGTAACTGCTTTGGAAGATGGTGATTGGGCATTCAGACAACATGGCCAGTACAGCGAAGTTGATGGAGGAGGTTCATTGCTTCAGTGCTGGTGGTCTTTGCTTCTTCCAGAATGCTGGCATTTGTCTGCCTGTCTTCCCAAGAGATTTGCAGGATTTTTCAGATGCAACATTGATGGAATTTTTCCTGAAGTTGAGTGGTATTCCAATAAAATAAATCCTACATAAAGTGTTGAGTGTGTTTTAACATATCATTTAAATCTGTGTTGTACTAGAGAGCATTATTCAGAGGTTGAGTTTTTTTGTTTTGTTTGCAGAGTATTGTAGATATTAAAATTGAATTTTGGAAGTTTTTATACAAACCTTAGTCTTTTATCAGAATAATGTTTCTGCCTCTTAAATTGCATTGTTATATCTAAAAATTATGACATGCCTGCATATTTTATGTTAACAGCTGTCGTTTACAGGAAGCCTACTTAAACATTTTTGGAACGGCAGCCACTCTAGGAGTCTGAACGATTGATAATTTTTTTAAAAAAGTGTTACGTGAATCAAGGTGGATTTTATTTAAAACATTATTTAAATTGCTTCTTTAAAGAGCTCACATTTTAATGATTTAAAGAACAACTTAACTCACTAGTAGGGGCAATTCGATGTAATTTTAATCTTTACTAGAAGTACATATAACCTTAATACACTTTATCCTTACTTTGCATCAGGGGACCTTTCTGTTCTTATAATGGTTTCTTTTTTAGTCATAGGTGCCTTCTACACTGCCATATAAAATCCAGGTTTTTTGCTTTAAATTGGATGATATGGCCGTGTAGACTCACATAATCCAGTTTAAAGCAGATAATGTGGATTATCTGTTTTGATAATCTGGATTATATGGCAGTGAAGAAAGGGGCATAGTCAGCCTCTTTCAGAAAAGATCTGTGTTTCCTGAAGGTTGAGAAAATGAATCATTTTAAAATAGACAGCTTTTGTACTTACAATTTATTTAGTCCTAAATAAGATGCCATCTTGTGTTTTTTAAATATATTGATGGGAACAGATATTTCTATTGTTGATTTTATAGGTGATACTGCTTTTCTGAAAGTATTTGTTTAATCTGTTGAATGTCAAATTAACATCTCAAGATCTGTTGTTTTAATTCATTGTAGACATTCTGTTTAAAAGGTGTGCTTGATAATTACATTATATAAGTTTTATTGAATGTAAAGATAGTATATTTCATATAATTGAAAGTGACAGTATAGGTTGGGCTACAGTAGAATAATGTTATAGGCTATCTATTCAAATAAAGTATTTTAAAGGATTACTGTCCCCTTTAACAAATCTTATCTCTTCTTGCCATTAGAGATATGATCTGTTGAGCTTAATTTGCTAGTCCACATACCTTTCCTCTCCTGCTCTTTGAAGACAAGTTGTGGTCTAAGTCACTCCCTTTTCGCCTCATTTTTAAAAAACGTCATTGGATTTTTTGTTAGTCTAATGATGATATTAGGGCAATATTGATTGATTTTAATCAAGGAAGTACATCTGCCTCTGGATTGTATTAGTGCAGATTGAGGAGCCATGGAGAAACTCAAATATTAGCAAGAAGTACTCTGTCTGTGGATCGTTACTTATTATATATGTAGCAACATGGAGAGCATTCAGTCCTATGTACCTCCAACTAGAACCTGAAGTTGTGTGGTCCTGACAGAGGTTTAGTCCTTCCATTAGGCCAGTGTCACTCTCAAAATATTTCCTAGCTTTCTCTGTATTAACATATCAAAAAATTAAGAAGAGGCACCACATGGTCCATGTTTGTGAAATCACATTAATGTATGTGGAATTATTTTATCTGTGACATTATCAAGCTGTCTCATTTTGATCCCTTAATAGTATTACAACAAATCCTCTGTTTGTAATGGAATTAGTCATTAATCTTACTATTGAGCTTTTCTGCTGCTGACGAGACTGAAATATCTCTCTCTCTCTCTTAGTAGACTATAACAAACGATATCTTTGTTGAGGATCTTGGATATCGGGCGAAATAAAAATGCTGATACAAAAAAATATATTGAAAAGGAATCTATTTTAACTTTCAGTATAATTGATTATGTCTTCCTTAAGTCTGTGTTGAGGGATATCACTATGCTTTTCAGTGATATTGTTTCTGCTTGGATTCTCAGTTCAATTATTGTATTCTACTTGGATTCAACTTAACATGAGTATGTTTGGTATCTTCAGGTGTCAGTGGAATATAGTTAAATAAGAAAATTATTTTTGCACTGTTGCATACAAGGTACCACTAAAAGAGCTCCCTTGCCAGTCATGTGTCTGAAGGCAACAATAACAGCAGCGTGATGTAGCAGCTCCACAATGAAGACAGTCCCAAACCTTTAAAGCCCCAGATGGCAATAATGAGCATCTTAAAACAGTGTGAAACCATTAGGCCATTTTGAACTGGAGTGCATCATTAACATAATAACATTCAGAATAACATTCAGCTCTGCCTTTTTCGTAAAACAAGATAAATAGTGGTTGGTCTGAGTTGGTGCTTGTAAGCAGTGTGGATTGCACGAGGGACAATTTATTGACACCTATGAAAGAGAGAGTGTTGTTTGTGGTGTTTATTTACTCACTGGTGTTCAGCCTAATTTGTGTGCGCGTGTGTGTGTTAAATGTCTTCTGAAGGAGCGTGTTTTTCAGTTATAATCAGTTCAGGGCCCATACATTCAATGTGTGGCCCACTCTTTCTGTCTATTTTATCATGTTTCCATGACCTTCCGTGCACTTGTGCGATCACATGCAGCTTTTCCTCTTAATTTCATACTTACAGCCAAAAATAAATAAATAATAAAAATGGAAAAGACTGGGTTCTGCATTTTGATAGATTTCTGATTTTTGACAGTGCTTTGGTCCCAACTTCTTAGTTTATTGCAGCAAAACCAAAAGTGTCTTGTAGCACCCTAAAGATGACACATTTTATTTGGCATGAGTATGTATAGACATAGTAACCCAATGGAACGGGCATTAGGGAAGCATGGGTGGCATCGGTTATCCATACTCTATCAATTTCTGGTATAGATTACAATGATATGTTATATATAAAGCTGCTTTTGAAAATTGTTTGAAGATAGCAGTTCATCTAAAATCAGGCTGCAAATCTGTTAACATGGAGTGGTCTTGGCAACATTATGTCAGCACTTAATCACAGAGCTGTTCCTCATAAAACTTGGGTGTGAACATGCATGCAAACACACACACGCACACACATTTACTTACCTTGATATGATAGAATGTGGGTTTCTTATATTGTTTCAGGATCTCTCTGCATCTGAGATATCTTTTACCTTGCATGATGAAGTTTTGTGTCAACACTTTGGAAGTATCGCAAAGTAATAATTAAGAACCCTACTGCTTCTTTGAGAGCATTAAGAAAGTGTGTTTGTTAAAATGGTAACTTTGCTTGGTAGATTAGAGTTTATTAACTCTAAAGCTATCTAAAATCTAGTGCTTCTAGCACTTATAAAACTATCAACAGATTAAAATACCTAGATACAATTTATTTGATTGTATTGTTATAGTTTTGTTTATATTCACAGCAGGCTTGGATAGATGTGTTATGTCCTAGCTGTAGTAATGTAAAACTAGCAACTATCATTCTGGTCTACATAGCAGATATTTTCTGGTCTATATAGCACATATTTCCTGAATTCTAAGGCTCACTTTTTTTCCTCTATAATATATAAACATCTCTAAAAATGGGGTGCATCTTAGAATCACATATGTATCTTATCCATTTTTGTTGTTGTTGGTACTGAAATTAGGGTGCATCTAACAATTTATGGCATCTTAAAATTGAAGAAATATGGTATGTTACAAAGGGATTTATGGTATGCATTGTACTGATTGTGGTGGTATTTCAGCAGTATTGTTACATCACATATTTTTGAATACATTCATTTCACATGGAATAGAGATTGCTTTGGCTGGCTTGCAAAACATCCACATGCCTGGTCCATATAACTGCAGGCTGTTTTTAGTTAGTAAATCTGCTTCATGCAGTGTTCCAAAATGTAGGTAGGTGTTGGCCTTTTGAATACATATTCATGTCTCTGTGATAAATAACACTTTTAAGTCTACTAGTAAAGATTTTGATGTGTATTTTTTATTTAAAAAGAGAGTCATTTATTATCATTGGAGTTAGGAATAAATTATAATTCTGGATATTATAAACTGATTTTCTTTTGTATATGCAACATGCCTTTTTCAAATTCAGTAGGAGGACTACAATACAGATTTAATTATGTTGATACATGTATCATTGAATCATAATTCACGCTCCATTGATTTCATTTTATTTCATTGTTTTGTATTTTAAACTGGTGTTTTCAGAATTTTATGAAATATTGTCATTGTAAATTAGAGACTACATTGTACTCAAATAATTAGATAAAGGGCTATATGTAGATTCAAAATCAGTAACTTCCTAAGATGTTGAACTATATTTTTCAGATACTGTTCATTACTAAAGTGAATCGGAAAGCATAGTACCATCTAAAACAGTGGTTCTCAACCTGTAGGTATCCAGATGTTTTGGCCTTCAACTCTCAGAAATCCTAACAGCTGGTAAACTGGCTGGGATTTATGGTAGTTGTAGGCCAAAATACCTGGGGACCTACAGGTTGAGAACTACTGGTCTAATGATCCTGTGAAATTGTTTTTGTTAAAAAATAAATACTTTAATGTACAAAAATGTTTTACCTCCTTGATTTTTGATGAAGGTTATTATTCTCTTTTTCATAGAATGTTGGCTTTGAAAGCTCAGGGAAGAAGTAGCAGGGACAAAAACATATCCCAGTGGTAAGTATTGACTATTTAACTCACTACAATGTTTAAGAAGTTGAGTTTCAATCGCCGAGTTCTATTTATTTCTTTTTCACTGGAATAATTAGAATAGTTTTAGATAGCATTTAAAATATTAAGATTAGTTTTATGCATATGCATCTATAAATAATCAGTAGGCATTGAAAAAATTGTTAATTTAGATATTCTATGTTTCAAATCAAGTGTTAATAGTGCTTTGTTTTCAAAATAAGCTTTGGGTTATCCTCCCTCAACCTGGTAACCTATTACCCTAACCATTACCTCAAGGTTATCAATCAGCAAACATAACAGAGAAAAGGGCTGGAGGAGAGCCGAGCTATAAACACAAGTAAAGGAGGTTAAGTTTGTGATAATTCTAGGAATGCTGGCCAAAAGTTATTACATGCAGTTTTAATTCTAGACTTTCATTGGTATTAAGTATCACATATTCTTATGTGACTTTGGGTCACTTCTCCAATGTTTTGTGTTTGAAGCATTCACTACTTTTCTGTGCTGTGAGGCAAAAAAATTGGCTACTATGGATCCACAGACTCTTGAAATCTCATGATTTTCTGTGTTGATGGCATGTATTCAGAAATCATGAAAAGTGGAAAATCTTCCAAGTTTTGTCATTAACTAAATTAACTTACTGTTCAACCTACCCTAAAACAAAACTTTTATGTAACAGAGCCACAAAAGATGTGTCCTATCCAATTGAGAAGTTTTATTATGAAAACTTTACAGTCTGGTTTGTATATATGTAACTTGGCTTACTGCTCTGACCTATCCATTAGGCCTGTGCGGTTTCGTTCGTTAATTTCGTTATTCGTAAAACATTCGTTATTTTTGGCATTTCCG